TTCAAATGACGATGGTCTATCCCCTGCCAACTGTTTTGGGCTTTTCAACTGGGAAAGCGCTGTGCCCTTTTCTCCCATTTTCCTTCGCCTTTGATGCCATGATGGTCAAACTTGGACCATGGACTGTGTCCGTCACTCGGTCCGAAAATTCTAAGTCTCTGAATGCTGTGCCCCTTTCAGACTGCACTAAACGTGGACTGAAGAACAGTTCATGGAATGTCCGAAACACTGCGACCGCGGACACCAGATGAGCATGTTCTCGGATGAGGTTATAGAACAGTTGCGTTTTGGGACGTTCAGTTATCCTATGGATGTTTTGTTTTGTTCTCGGACAATGTGTTGTAAATACGCGAACACAACGCCTCGCGGAAACGCTACTGCACGAGAATTCCATGAATGAATGTTTGTTATATAAACGTATTTCGTGATACTTCGGGGAGTGTGTGTTAAATGAGTGTGTTAGAGACTGTGGGTAAGGGTATTAGTGTTAGAATGTTAGATGGTTAGATGGTTGCGTCGAATCGAACATCTGTGTGTTGGATGTTGACGCGCTTTGAGATGATTTGGTCATAATCGGACCTCAGCAAGGTATTGAAGCTTTCGTACAGTATCTTGCATTCGTTAGTGTATATATATAAATTTACAATTGTGGGGAAATAAAATTTGGATTAAATAATTAAAATTTTGTTTTCATTCCACTGCAAAACAAAATGGTAGCAGAGCGTGGTTATGTTATGTTAGGTTAGGTTAGTTGCAGGTGAGTTTAGCTGCGTGTCAAGATTAGATACAGGTTAGATTAGTGGAAGGTTAGTTTACATGCAGGTTAGGTTAGTTGCAAGTCAGATTAGTTTGTCATCATGTCGGAGACATCGATGAAGCAAATAGCTTCAAACGTTGAGGTAAAGGTTCCTAAAACAGACGTTGGTGACAAAATTATCAAATTAAAGAAACAAAAAGCAGCAGCTAAAACTGCATTCACAAAATGTAAGAACAAGTTGTATAACTTGATAGAACAAGTTGATGTTCCTTCCCGTCGGGAGGTTAGAGATGAAATTGACAAGGTAAGTTCACTTCACCTTAAGGCAGTGAATATCATGGTTGATTTGATCCAGGCATATTCAGATAGCGGGGACACTGAAAACAAAAGTCAAGTCTACAAAGAACTTGCGTCTGTAGAAGGGATTAATGAAGATGTTGTTAAAATGGCACAAGAATACTTGAATGATAGATCAGATGCTACTTCTGTAAGCAGCATAAGAACAGGTTTATCAATGCTATTCCATTCTCAAGATCAGACAAAGCAAAAAGTACAATCTGATAAGAATACAAAATGCAAACAGAACAGTGACAAGGAACAAGCCATAAATAAGAACGTGGTCACAGGAAAACATGAGAAGAACGTCGAATGTTTAGATGACAAGTTGAATGTGGTTGAAAGTTCTGGAGCACATTATGATGTTCGCAGAAGAACGAACCCTGTCACAACACATGAGCTTGGTGTAGATATGTGGAAACAACTCAAAAGGGTGTCGATACCCACATTTAATGGTGACATTAAAATGTATGAGAATTGGAAAGCAGCATTTGTAGCTTGTGTGGACATGGCGCCAGCCACCCCCGAATACAAACTGTTACAGTTAAGACAATGTCTTACCGGAGAAGCACTGAAAGTGATAGCGAGTTTAGGTCATAGTGCGGCTGCATATGACATCGCATTAGAACGTCTTGAACGCAAATATGGTGGTAAAAGACGTAACATTGCTTTGAAGTTAGAAGAGATTACAAAGTTCAAACCAATTAGGGCAGGTAATGCCAGGGACTTAGAGAAGTTTGCAGACATGCTTGATATTTTAGTGGCAAACCTTAGAGAATCAGACAAGTTAGAAGAGTTGGGTGATGGGACCTTATATTCACAATTACTAAAGAAATTAACAGAATCCATGGTAATACAATATCAGAGGTGGATATTTGAGACCCAGAGACAGGAATCTGTTGAAGCCCTTAGGGAATGGATTCTGCAAGAATCAGAGTTTCAGGTCATTGCCAGTGAAGTCATAAATGGGGTTGCTGAAAAGCAGAGGTCACATGAACGTAAAACATCGGGTAAAAATGGGACTTTCTTTGGCAATAAAGAGAATAAAAGTCAAACGGGTCCATGTCAAATGTGTCCAGGAGCAAGTCATGAGATGTGGAAGTGCACAAAGTTCAAAGCATTGAGCGTTAGTCGGAGGTGGGAGGTTGCAAAGAGGTTGAATCTTTGCTTCCGTTGTCTAGGCTCCAACCACTGTGGTAGGAGTTGCACTAGGTTTAGTGAATGTGGGATAGGTGGTTGTTTTGCAAATCACAATCGCTTACTTCACACTGATAGGAAAGTAAGGGATTGGACAGATGGTGCAAAAGTAAGTCGCCCCCTAAATCCAGTAGATGAAACACAAACAACCACAATGTCTACTTCTAGGTGTGACATGTCATACACAGCATTGAGAACAGTCCCAGTAGTTATCACAAATGGACATCGCAGGATTACAGTCAATGCTCTCTTAGATGATGCAAGTACGCAGACATACATAAATGAAGATATAGCTGCAGAACTTGGGTTACAAGGACATTATCAGAAAGTATCAGTGAATGTTCTAAATGGCAGAAAGGAGAGTTTTGAATCAATGACTGTTAATTTTGGGTTAGAAAGCATTGATGGTTCAGTTGATGTATCAATGTCAGCTCTTACAACAACAAAAGTTACAGGCAAAATGCAAGTAGTAGACTGGGAGAAACATGGACATAAATGGAAACATTTGAATCACATCAAATTCCCAAAACTTAGTTCTCGTACTGTGGTTGATCTCCTCATAGGCATTGACTACATTGACCTTCATCGGTCATATGAAGAGGTAAGTGGTGGTCAGGGAGAACCTGTTGCAAGACTTACACCTCTTGGGTGGACATGCATAGGACGTGTTCATGGTGAAAATGAAACACATTTTGCAGGTACTTTTCTCATTGATAACAATAGAACAGAATTGCAGAATCTAAACGCTTTAGTGCACAAGTTCTGGGAAGTAGAGGAATTTTCATGTAGCACCATGAATGACTACAATGATGATGAATTGTGTGCAGTTGAAAAAGTTAAACAGACACTTCAGTACAACAATGGTCACTACCAAGTAGGTATACCTTGGAGATTTGACACACGGATGTTACCAGATAACTATAAGATGGCTGTCAATCGTCTTCTTAGCACTGAGAAGAAACTGTCGAAGGACAAAGAAATGGCTGAAGCTTATTGCTCAGTTCTAGATCAATATGTGCAAAAGGGATACATTCGTAAAGTATCGACATTGGAAAATGAGAGTAAATGGTTTCTTCCTCATTTTCCAGTAGTACGTCCAGACAGAACTACAACCAAAGTACGCATTGTATTCGATGCTTCTGCAAAGTGTCAGGGTGTTTCACTCAATGACATAATACATCCAGGACCGAAGTTGCAGAATGATCTTTTTGAAATCTTGCTACGATTTAGGAAGCAGCCCATAGCACTTGTTTGTGACATCTCGGAGATGTACCTACAAATTGAGGTGAAACCTGAAGATCGTAAATACCTCAGGTTTCTGTGGCGACCCATGAATTCAAATGAGGAACCACAGGTGTATGAGTTTAACAGGGTGTTGTTCGGTTTGAATTGTTCACCATTCTTAGCGCAATACATTTCACAAGAACATGCAAAAGCACATCAGAATGAATTTCCACTTGCTGTAGAGACTGTAGTAAGCTTCACCTATATGGACGATAGTATGGATTCGGTAGAAGATGACATGACTGGGATAGAGCTGTACAATCAGCTGAGTGAGCTATGGCGCACAGCAGGTATGAACGCCAGAAAATGGCTTTCAAATTCGTTGGATGTCCTTGATGGAATTCCATTAGAATCTAGGGCACAGAAGGTAAACATAAACAAGAATGAATTGCCTTCAGTGAAAACACTAGGTCTTATGTGGATTGCAAATGATGATGAGTTCAGTTTCTGTATGAATGTTCCTGAAGACATTGTGAGAATGACCAAACGAATGTTTCTCAGTGAAATTGCAAGGATCTTTGATCCGCTTGGACTCTTGACACCTTTCACCATTGTGGGGAAAATGATGATTCAAGAGATGTGGATATCAGGTTTCGGATGGGATGAAGAGCTTGATCCAGATCTGAATCTTAGAACTTTGAAATGGGTAAATGAGGTTAAAGAGTTATGCAATATCAGAGTACCACGGTGCTTGAGAATCAAATCTGAAATAGGAAACAAAACATTTCATGTATTTGCAGATGCATCACAAGATGCATATGGGGCAGCAATATATGCAGTCTATACTTACCAGAGTGGGGAATTGGTCAGTCGTTTAGTTACCTCCAAAAGCAGGGTTGCTCCTCTTCAATCTGTAAGCATTCCAAGAATGGAACTGATGGCGGCAGGCCTTGGGGTGAAATTGTTTGTTGCTTCAGCAAAGGTGTTAGAAATGTCCACTGTCAACACGTATTTTTGGTGTGACAGTATGAATGTGTTATGTTGGATAAAAAGCCAGAGTAGAAATTACAAGTCTTTTGTGGCAAATCGCATTGGTTATATCCAGGAACACACCAGTCCATATCAGTGGAAATATGTTCCATCTCGGTTAAATCCTGCAGACATACTAACCAGGGGTACATCAGTGAAGAACCTAGCCAGTAGTACATGGCTGACAGGACCAGCATTTCTGAAACTCACAGAAAGTGAATGGCCAGAACAAATGGTTGGATTTCAAAGTGATAGTACTTTAGAAATGAAGAAACTGTCAAGAAAAAGGGAAGTTGTTACACTTATGTCTGAAGTTGTTACACTTATGTCTGAAGGTGAGAATGATACATGGCGTCTTCATCCATCCAGATATTCTGACTGGAAGAGGTTGACTAGAATATATGCTTGGGTATGCAGATTTGTTACCAATGCACGTATTGCACCAAAATTACGACACATGGGTAATTTGGAGGTTGACGAAATCGAAGATGCTGAAATGGGAATCATCAGTCAGATGCAACAACAGGAGTTTGCCAAAGAGTTTTCTGCACTGCAAAAAGGAAAACAGCTTCCAAAAGACAGCAAACTCATTGGACTCCAGCCAATAATCGATGAAGAGGGACTAATTAGATGCAGTGGCAGACTGAAATATGCTGACTGCTTGTCTTGGGGAGCACGAGTTCCAATAATCTTACCTCGTAAGAACTGGGTCACAAGGCTTATTGTGAAACATTACCACGAAGCGGGTAAACATGCAGTAGGTACTAATCAAACTTTAGCTGCTCTATCCTCAAAATACTGGGTCATTGCTGCTCGTGAAGAGATTCGAGCATGGGAGACAGAATGTGCCTTTTGTCGGAGACAAAAAGCTCAACCGAGACCTCAGATTATGGCTCCACTTCCAAAGCTGAGAGTTAGCTATTCACTGAGAGCATTTACTCATGTTGGAGTGGACTATGCAGGGCCTTTTCTGACTATCCAAGGGAGGTTAAAGAAGAGACAAAAACGATATTTGTGTCTTTTCACGTGTTTGTCCACTAGGGCTGTACATTTGGAAATGTCATATGGTCTAGATAGTGACTCGTTTTTGAATGCTTTCTTCCGCATGACAAATAGACGAGGAATGCCAAAAGAAGTCGTATCCGATAACGGAACTAACTTTGTAGGCGCTGTGAAGGAATTGAGAGATCTGGTTGAACAACTTGATGCGACTGCGAGATCATCATTGACTAATAAGGGAGTCGTCTGGAGATTCAACCCTCCTCATGCACCACATTTTGGTGGTGTATTTGAATGCATGATTAAGTCAGCTAAGAGAGCTATCTTTGCCATTCTGGGTAAAGGCGATGTCACGGATGAAGAGCTAACTACAGCATTTACTGCCGCAGAAGCACTCATAAATTCTCGTCCACTCACTTATCAAAGTGCTAACTGCCAAGATGATGTACCGTTGACCCCAAATCATCTTATGCACGGGCAAGTCGGTGGAACATTTGCTCCAGATAGTGTTGATACTACGTCATACAACCCCAGAAAACGATGGAGACGAATACAGGAACTGGTGAGGCACTTCTGGAGGAGATGGTTGAGGGAGCTACTACCAACTCTTCAAGTCAGGAAGAAGTGGAGAGAGGCTAACCGCAATCTGAAGGTAAATGATGTCGTCATCGTAGTTTCACCAGATTCTCCACGTGGAAGCTGGCCTTTGGGGAGAATCATCAACACATATCCAGGCAAGGATGGACATGTTCGAGTGGTACAAGTAAAGATGGGGAAAACTACGCTGATGAGACCTGTGACGAAGGTGTGTCCACTCGAGTGGAATTCGGAGGATGACTTGAGAGAACATTAAGCAGATCAGTCATGTGGAGGTTCAGGCGAGATATGTTCATGCAAGCAGTGGGAGCAGGATCGTTCGTCGTCTGGAGGATGGATCGTTCGTCGTCTGGAGGATGGATCGTTCGTCTGGAGCATGGATCGTCGGCATCAGGAGGATTGAATTCGAAGGATCGTTGTGTAAAGGATTGACTTTTGAAGATTCGAATTAGGATACCAAATGACTATTTTAGAGGATCAAGAAACAGGATGTGTTGTTTATTGAAATGTGCATTTTTCATTTTGTGATTCATGATTCATGGATATCAGCAGAACATATGATAGACAGGAGTCTATCATGGAGGGGGGAATGGACTGAAGAACAGTTCATGGAATGTCCGAAACACTGCGACCGCGGACACCAGATGAGCATGTTCTCGGATGAGGTTATAGAACAGTTGCGTTTTGGGACGTTCAGTTATCCTATGGATGTTTTGTTTTGTTCTCGGACAATGTGTTGTAAATGCGCGAACACAACGCCTCGCGGAAACGCTACTGCACGAGAATTCCATGAATGAATGTTTGTTATATAAACGTATTTCGTGATACTTCGGGGAGTGTGTGTTAAATGAGTGTGTTAGAGACTGTGGGTAAGGGTATTAGTGTTAGAATGTTAGATGGTTAGATGGTTGCGTCGAACGAACATCTGTGTGTTGGATGTTGACGCGTTTGAGATGATTTGGTCATAATCGGACCTCAGCAAGGTATTGAAGCTTTCGTACAGTATCTTGCATTCGTTAGTGTATATATAAATTTACAATTGTGGGGAAATAAAATTTGGATTAAATAATTAGAATTTTTGTTTTCATTCCACTGCAAAACAAAACGATTTCGGGAAGTTTCTTCAGGTTGTCACTGCTTCGAAAGTCGTAAAATCTTCAAAATTTCCAAAACTTGTCCAACTTTTCCTTACTTCATTAATTAGTCGCTGACCATTCTTCTAAGCACAACGCAAACTGACCTCTCTACGCATGCGCACCTCTCACGGAATTCTGAGGTTCTGATTAGGTTGGTGGAAGTCAACTTAGCCTACAGCACGTTTCCACACATGGTCGTAGAAGAAGAGAGAGTGCATACAGTGAGATAGGATAAGTATATAAATATACAATTTATTATAAAATTTACCATATGTTTTCATCATAATATATTATATAGATATTTTTAATTTCATTTTGTACCCTTTTAAATTGTTTTGATATATTTATAAAATACAAATCTGTATTCTTTTGCAGTGACGTTTTATATGTACAGAAATAAACATTGATTCCAAACTTGGTGTTAGAAGTGGGATATGTTTTCATAAAGTCATTGTGCGGATTCATATTTTAACCTTATCGCAAAGCATCTCGGATTAAACACATTAGTGAAGACACCTCATAGAATGGATTTACTCATCTCGTGTACTAATAAAAATGTCACCAATATTATGTTTACATGCCGAGTCATTCTAGTTTGTTACATTTTGAAATGTCATAATCATGTTGATACATTTTATAGTTTGCATTCTTATTTCTCATACACTGTCCTAAATATCAGTCCTCCCGGAGAGCGGAAGGTCCCGGGTTCGATCCCCGGTCGCGTCATACCAACAGACGTTAAAATATTGTACTTGTTGGTCCCTGCCTGGCGCTCGGCATTAATGGGTACAACAAGGACTACAACAACTCGGAGTCGGTATACTGTGTCTGAGTGGGGTATTCATGCTTAACCGCGGCATGGTATCTCAGTGACCTAGCACTATAAAACCAGCTTAGTCGTCATATGAGCGAAATATTCTTAAGTGCGACGTTAAACCCAATTTCACCTCACCTAAACATGTAGTCTAACGAATTAATTGATGTATGACTTGATACTTCAGCCCAAAGGGTGTGTCAATACTTTACTGGATGTGTTTCTGTTTGACGAGTGTATTTACATTTCAGTAAAACGGATGTGTTAACAATTGTGATTTAATCATATTTATTTCCAAAGAAAGGAACCGGATTGGTAAACAAGCATAAGCTTATATGAATACCGCCCCGGGATACAAGGAAAGAAGAGTAAACATGTCATGATGAATGTACAATGTGAATGATATATAAATGTTGCAAAAACGAGAAAGAACGCCAATCTTCCACAGTATATGTCATGTAAACAAATTATATTGATCAAATCTGCCTGTTACATTTTTAAACGAGTGCACTGAAAGGAAAAGTTCTTTGTTTACTAAAGCGGAACAGTTTTCGTTTACAAACAAAATTGATTTTAGTTCAAATCCTTTAGTATAAAAATACATAATTTGACGTATATCGTTGTAAAGAGTACATGAGAAGAAATAATGAGCAGAGTCTTCATAGTTGTGGCCACAAGAGCAAGATGATGTAGATATAAATCTGTCATATTTGTGCGCATTAAGGTCACTACATTTAAGTCGGAGATTGTGTTAACAATTCAATCCGACAACTGTATGATACTTTAGTTTACTGAGAGGAATGGAATGGAAGGGCTGTGTGGTAGCCTAGTGGTAAAAACGTTCGCTCGTCACGCCGAAGACCTGGGTTCGATTCTCCTCATGGGTACAATGTTAGAAGCCCATTTGTGGTGTCCCCGCCGTGATATTGCTAGAATATCGATAAAAGCGGCGTAAAATCCTATTCACTCGCTGTAGAGGATGCCTGTAATGGTATCAACAGAACGAGTGTGTTAATGTCCCATCGTCAGGATGAATATCTGACGTGCAATAAGATCATAAATTAAGATATCAGGCTGTAAATGCTTTGATTACACAATGCCATTATTTTCAAATGTAACATATGTTATATTTAAGAATACAGTTCGCTCTACCACCATGATTGTACGGTGTAATAAAGCACACTTTCGCCCTGAACTAGTATAGTTAAAGTACGAGGAAGCTTGAGTCCGAGTGCTTTAACGTTATAATATGTCAGGGCGAAAGTGTGCTTAATTACACTATACATGGTGGTAGAGCGAACTGCATTCTTTCTAAGATGCCAAATATAATACTTTCTAAAGATAATTACGATTAATTTAAGGCAGATAACAAACGACGGTGTCGGTGACCTAAATTAAGAATAAGCTAACCTAAAACTTGTGAGTTGAATTGAGACATTTTAACCGTCGCAAAACATAAACGTAATGTTTCCACCAGTGATGTTAGCTGCGTGAAGCAACTGCAAACTAAGAAACGGGATGCAACGGAGTAGTTTACTGTAGGAGGATGTACGAGGCGATGACAACTGACATGCATCGTCACGTCGCTTACACTGTAACGAAATGTAAAATGGTTCGATTACGAGGGGCACACTAGAATTGCGCAGTGACGGGAAAACGTCATTCAATTGTTACGTCATCAAAAACTATACCTTTATTGTCTGATAATGTGTTTTTTCGATTGTTCTAACCGCTAGGCATCTTAGAATTGGGATTACACTTTCTTAGTGAAATTACAAATTCTAGGATTTTTAGGTTGAGTCCTTTCCGATTCGAACCCACACCCTCAGAGTCAGGCACCTAATCGCCAGCACTCAATGTTAGCCGCCTAACCCGCTCAGCCACTGGAAGTCGGATAACTGGTCTTGACTGCGGACTTTGTGTACCCTTCTGATAAGTGTAGATTGGCAAGGCTCCCACAGCCGAAAGCTATGATTACACAATGCCATTTAGAAAGTTGTAAATGCTTTGAGGGAAAAACTGCTCGCGTTGTTGTATTCTGTGTTATAGGTGAGTGCGATGTATCCAACGACGTCAGACGTTGATCATAATTCACTCATCTTGCCGCGACTTGAACATTTGAAGACGGCAGTTATGTGTGTAGAATATTGCCAACTGTAGTTTGAGGCAACAAATTTACAAAACAACTTCGGGTTGCTAAGGTTCAACTTTAATAAATGGTGCAGCTATCAGAATGTTTAGCTGTAAAAATCATTCAAGGGAGGTAACTCTTGGAGTCTTCGTCGTATCCCGTTCATCTTAAAACTTGACCATACTTGAAGCAATATGATCTTTGTGCTCGGCCTATAACACAGGGTTTTAGAATATGTGTGTTATCTTGTTTATTTTATTCCATTTCTTAGTCATATGAAAAAATCAACTGTACGAAATCACAAAATTGATCCATGTGAGACATTGTTTTGGGGGTGGGTTGGAGGTGTATTTCCGTTGTAAGTTTTGACATGAAGTTTTACTTCTTTGACTTGTGAACGAGTTTGTCCAGATTAACACTTGACGTACCTTTTCATGTTTTGTGACGCTTGTCACTGGGGATATTGCGTCTGTGTGTGCGTGTGTGTGTGTGCGCGTGCGCGCGTGTGTGTGCGAGTGCGTGCGTATCTACTTGTACTAGTCTTGACTCAGAGATACCATACTGCAATTCAACAAAGGCGCCCCATCCAACACACAGATTATTGACTCTAATGTTCTGATATGACCATTTCCTCTTTCCGATTTCTTTGCTCGTTGTGTAACACCCCACTCAGCAATATTCCTCCTGTATGACGGCAGTCTGTAAATAAACGACATTTTTTCTCTTCTTCATGCTCATGTCTGAAATTATAGTGACGATTTGGTGTGGACAAATGGCTAACTTTCATGCCATATAAGACGATTTGTTGCTTTGGAATGTATGTTTATTTGCCATTTAACTGGTACGATTTTGTAGCAAACGCACCGTTCGTGATCAACTTGTGTCTTCTTGGAGGTTACGGAAATAGGCGAGTGGTGACGGATGCAAACGGACTTTATTCGGCAAATAGCCGTGTACAGTCCATTTGATTTCATTTGAGACCGATGATTTTTAACAATACAAAGTTTTTTAACAAACGATCATTATTTTGTTGGCACTTTTCGCTATTTTTTACGAGGGTACCACTTGCTGGTAGAACAGCCAGGTGTGCGAGTTGCGCGTTTGAAATTGAAATTTCACTGCACACGCGTGTTGATTACCTGGGTGATCTACCAGCAAGTGGTACCCCTCGTAAA